CTGCCGCAGTCTGGCTGGGCACAATCAGGAGCCACTTGTCAAAAGAAACTAACTTTATTTTTAGAACCACACACACCAAACAAAACAGCCTCTCAGGAAAAACCCTCAGAGCCTCAACTGCCACCACCGGCTTTTTACAAGCCTCTCTCTCCCACCCAAGCTTCTCTCCACCTCCCACAATCCTCCTGCTCTTGAGGCCGATTGGCTGGGTCACGTGGGCGGAGCCAAAAAAGTCCCCCAATGAGCAGCTCCGTGGTCTGAAAGGGCAGGGAAACAGCCCAATGAGCATCACCGCAGAGGAGCCAATCAGCTAGATGTTGCTGGGGCTGCTGTGAGCCAATCATCAGCCGGCAGCTGGAAGTTTGCTGGCAGCTGGAAGTTTGCTGGGGTCCCTTCGGCTGCGGCTCTCAACATCTCCCCCTCTCTGTTTAAACAACAAGCATGTGGCTTAGGGACCGTGCCTGCCTTAGGTTGTCCAATAGTACATATGGTCCTTAGGTTGGTACCATTGCAATTGGTTCTTACCCGTCACTGACTACCGGTCCAGTATACAGCCACACCTGTGGAGAGGTCTTTGTACCAGCGGGGGGGTGAGGTTCTTTGCCTCACCTCTGTTGGCCCCCAAATTTTAGCTGGACGATCATGACAAGCAGAAGGGAGGAAGATACACCAAGCCAATTGACGGCTCCTTTTGGAAAAATTGTACCACCAATGACATCATCAGCAAAAATACCCCAATACTACCACAAGTCGCTGCACCAACAGATAGTTCACAATGCATACAGGTGAGCTCACAATGTGTCCAGGCAAGTTCTGCAAGCAGTTCAGTGATGGCTATTGTAGAAGCTGTAGATTGGTTTTATCTTTCACTTCACCAGCACTGGGATGAAGATAGGAATTCTGGCAATAATGGCTAAAGAAAAAATTATGTAACATTACAGAAGGCACTAAAAGAAAACAATTTTCTTAACAATTTACATTGTCTTCACCGGCACTGGGATGAAGATAGGAATTCTGGCAATAATGGCTAAAGAAAAAATTATGTAACATTCCAGAAGGCACTAAAAGAAAACAATTTTCTTAACAATTTACATTATCTTTAAGAGAATTATTAAATATAATGAAAAGGAAAGGTGAAAGTAAACAAACAGATCTGTTAACCTTCTTTTTTGTTTACATATTAAAACAATCCTCAACAGTTGTTTACCCAATTTAAATTAAACCATATAAATCACGTGAAAAAAAAAAATATTTGGATCCATTTTATCATGAGCGCTCATCATATATGATATATGGACATACGTACATTCAAACATATAACACAAAACACAAGTGTGCACACATAATATAATACATGCAACACATAACATTATAGTAAAGGCCTTCTAACTTTTTACAGGTGAAATCTCCATTGCAATGTTTAAAAACTCTATAGTCAAAAAATAGAACTGATCAGCAAAACATTAACCTAGGTCTGTATGAGCTCAAAAAACAAAATAGAACTTCATGATATGGCAAAGGGCAATAATAAAATAGATATTGAAAAAAGCATCCTGGTTCTGTTGCAGATGTAAGAATAGCCAAACTGGAGTTTTGGATATCAGTTGTTATGGATTTGAGCCAAATCATCTTCTTTTTGGTCTGTAGAAATCGCTTTAGTTAATCTTTCTGGAATCCAAATCGGCTGCTGTTCTCCCTGTGGAAACACATAAACAGACCCCTGACTCCAGACAATCACTGGGTCAGGACCTTGGTTAATCTCTCTGGAATCCAAATCGGCTGCTGTTCTCCCTGTGGAAACACACAAACAGACCCCCGACTCCAGACAATTACTGGGTCAGGACCTTTCCATTGTCCTGTTAGAATATCCTTCCAAAGTACCTTGGGCTTATGCACATTTTTTGGACACATATGCCTTTCCGCAGCACTAAGTCCTGATGAATCCAAATTTAAAAAGTTTAGAGTAAAAAGGGTTATTTTAAGTTTATCTTTGGGGAATACATACCCCTTCCCAATTCCTTCTTTTTGCTTTAATAAGTACATTTTAATAGTTTGATGAGCTCTTTCAACTATGCCTTGTCCCTGTGGATTGTATGGGATTCCTATTATATGAGTAATGCCAAATGTTGAGCAAAATTGTTTAAAAGAGGTAGAAGAATAACCAGGGGCATTATCTGTTTTTAACTGTTTTGGAACACCCACAGTGGCAAAATTTTGTAAGCAATGAGCTATAACATCTTTAGTTTTTTCTCCGGCATGAAGGGAGCCCATCAAAAATCCAGAAGAAGTATCAACTGTAACATGCAAATATTTTAATTTTCCAAATTCTGGCAAGTGTGTGACGTCCATCTGCCAAATATGGTTAGGTATCAATCCTCTAGGATTGACTCCAAGATTAAATTGTGGTAAAAAGGTCACACAATTTTGACATTGTTTTATTATTTGTCTAGCTTATTCCTTAGTTATTTTAAAACGCTTTTGTAAAGTATTAGCATTGACATGGAACTTTTTATGAAAATTTATAGCTTCTAGTGTAGAAAAAATATGTATGTCATGTGTAGTTTTATCTGCTAAATCATTGCCCAAACTAAGGGCTCCAGGCAATCCTGTATGTGCCCTGATATGTCCTATAAAGAATGGATCTTTTCTGTCCCAGATTAGACTTTGTATAGTGGAAAGCAAAGAGAAAACAGTAGAAGAAGGGGAAATCCTACCAGCATCTTCAAGAGATACTATAGCATTAACTACATACTGACTATCAGAAAATAAATTAAATACAGAATCTTTAAATATCACAAAAGCTTGTAAAACTGCATTAAGCTCTACCTTTTGAGCTGATTGTTTGGGTACTAAAAATGTAAAAGTTTGATCAGGGGTAACTACTGCTGCTGTACCATTATTTGACCCATCAGTGAATATATTTGGAGCATTCATGATAGGTGTTTTTCTTGTCATTTTTGGAAAAATTACAGGATGCAATGACCAAAAAGACAATAAAGGATTAGATGGTAAGTGGTTATCAAATGAAACATTAGATTTGCACATGATTATTGCCCAAGTATTTAACTCATTAGCTAACTCATCAATTTGATTCATAGTATATGGAGTAATAATTTTATTGGGAGAAATTCCAAACACTCCCTTTGCTGCTTTTATTCCTTTGAGTATTAATTGTCCTACAGCCTCAGGATACCTAGTAAGAATAGTGTTAGGAGAATAAGATAAATGTATCCATAATAATGGACCTTCTTGCCAAAATACTCCTGTAGGAATATTTTTTGTTGGTAGTACAATAAATAATAAAGGCAAACTTATATCAATTCTATCCAAATGCATATTTTTCCATATATGTTTCAATGATTTTTAATGCCTTTCTTGCTTCAGGCGTTAACATTCGGGGTGAATTTGGATCTGATGGACCTTTTAGGATATCAAATAAAGGTCCCAACTCTCCTGTTGGTATACCTAAATAAGGCCTTATCCAATTTATGTCTCCTAATAACTTTTGAAAGTCGTTAAGTGATTTGAGTTGATCTACTCGTATTTGAATTTTTGGTGGACGGACCATGGTTGAGGATAATAGAACTCCTAAATAATTAATTGGAAAATTTAATTGTACTTTATCTATTGCTATCTCTAGATTATAATTTTTTAATAAGTTTGTAAGTGTGGCATAACATTCTAGCAATGTGTTTTTATCTTTGTGTGCTAATAATACATCATCCATATAGTGAAATATTTGTAGTTCAGGATTTTGATTTCTAAGTGGCTGGATTACTTTGTTAACATAAATTTGACACATAGTTGGGCTGTTAGCCATCCCTTGAGGGAGTACTTTCCATTCATATCTCTGATCAGGACCTTCATGATTCAGTGCAGGGATAGTAAATGCAAAACGTGGACTATCCTCAGGATGAATTGGAATTGAAAAAAAACAATCTTTAATATCTATAACTAAAACATACCAGGTTTTTGGCAAAGCAGACAACTGAGGAATCCCTGATTGAGCAGGTCCCATAATAACCATCTCATTATTAATGGCTCTTAAATCTTGCAATAATCTCCATTTACCAGATTTCTTTTTGATGACAAAAATGGGAGTATTATGGGGAGATACAGAAGGTTGTATATGTCCTTCCGCTAATTGTTGTTTGATCAGGTCATGGGCTGCTTGTATCTTTTCTTTAGTCAGGGGCCACTGAGGAACCCATACTGGTCTTTCTGATTTCCAAGTAATTTTTATTGTCTCAGTGGCCCTTTCTGAAAATCCAACCCATGTCTGTCTGTTCCTTGATCTATTTGTATTGGTGCTGCTATACCTTGTTCTTGTTTTTCTAATCTTTTTCCTTTCCTAAAACCTTGTCTAGTCATAATAGTGGGTGCATTTTGGTTGATGTTATTTGTTAATGTCAAACCTAATTGATCTAGGACATCTCGTCCCCATAAATTTACGGGAAGATGATCCAATACATATGGCTGTATAGTTCCTTCACATCCTTCAGGATCCTTCCAATCTAATACCATTGCACTTCTATGGGGATTAGTTGCCACTCCTAGGCCTCGAAGCGTTTGAGTGGCTTGTTGTAATGGCCAATGTTTTGGCCATTCTTGACGAGAGATGATGCTAAGGTCTGCACCTGTATCCAGTAGCCCATTAAATTCATGTCCTTGAATATTTAGTTTTAGCATGGGGCGAGAATCTAAATTTAAAGAAAGCATAGCCCAATCTACACCTGTGGAGCCTAATCCCTTGGAACCTCTTTCTACAGTACGACTGGAAAATTTATCATGTAGGCTGGGTATTATTAGTAACTGTGCTATTCTATCTCCTGGTGAAATTACTGATATACCCTTTGGAGAACTGGCTATAATTTTTATTTCACCTTCATAATCGGGATCAATTACCCCAGGACTTATCATAAGTCCTTTTAGAGTAGAAGAGCTGCGTCCCAATAATAAGCCTACTGTTCCTTTGGGAAGAGGTCCTTTCACCCCTGTGGGAATGATTTGAACTCCCATCTCTGGAGTTAGTACTGCTCTGGCGGTACTATGAAAGAATAAATGTACACTGCTTTAAGGCATTAAGTTTTCAGAGTACTTTGTAAAGGAAACACTAGGAAAATATATGAACAGATTTATTTCTTACCAATGTCATCATCAGTTTTGTCTGCAGGTTCTTTTTCAAGATATTCTCGAACAAGATCTCGCCCCTGCAATGGATCTGTTTGATCAATCTCTTCCTCTTCTTCTTCTTCATCCTCAGAATCAACAGGTCCTTCTGGAAGACGTGTTAAATCTACATCTCCTACTTCACTCTCTGTAGCCTACAGAAAGAAATTTTAATCATTTATCATTTTATATGAAAATATTGTATATCACAGTCTGAAATAACTCAAACTTGTGTCCTTACCAAATAATAAAATGAATTTAGGCAACAATGCATGCTGTGTTAAGACTACAATGAAATGATGGTTATTTATAAAAGGTTTCTTTGTGTCTTAAATACATGTTTATCTTTCCCTAGTAAGATATCCAGGTGATAAATCTGAGCCAGGAAGTATAAAATGGTTAAGAGATTCAAAGATCACTAAATATATTGTTTTCCAGAAAACACTTGCTTTTTTTTTTTTTTTTTAAACTCAAAGGTTTCTAAAACATGAAGTATGAGAAAGAGAAAGTTTAACAACAATCACTTTACAAGTAATATATTCTTTCATCATAGATGCTAGATGGTAGGTGATCATGTAAATTCAAAACAAAAGTCTGAGCCAGGCATGATGGCCCAGTGGCTTGGGATATTTCTCTGGGGCAGAAATATCACAAGTTCAATGCCAGCCCCAGCATTGAGACTCTTGTTTATAAATAAAAAATATAAAAAGGGTTGGGGATGCGGCTAAGTGCCCATGGGTTCAATCCCAGGTACATAATAAAAACAAAAGCAAAAATAACAACAAAATACCAAAACACATACATTCACAAGCCCCAAACCAAAACCATATAAAACCAAAAGTTTGAAACAAGGTAGAATAGTATTGCTAAAATAGGCTCATCATAAAAGATGGATACTCCTCGTTTTCCATTGCCTTATCACTAGATCTAACAGTGTGAAAAGAGCTGAGATTATTCTAAAACTAATCTTTAAAATGAATTCAACAACCACAACTTTGGTAATATAATGTGTCATATACCTCTAAAAGAACCAGCAATTTTTACAAAAGTATGAATTAAGTGTAATGCACAAAAAGTAATGAAGATGTGTTTTAAAAAATACAACCATTTTGAAGTGGATTATTAGGCAATATTTCTGAATATTACACTCTTGATTCATATTATAAATGAAAAAGCATGAATGTTAAAGCAGTTACAGAAAAAATGAATTGGACACAGGAATTCCATATAACAAAAAAAGACTCAAATGTGAGTATATTAATAAAGACTATGTAAGTTTCACCCAAATACTTATCTCATCTTCCGTTTTGAACATTTACTGTACTGTCTGTCCGGAAGAAGTTCTCTTTTTGGCAACTGCTGTTTCCATCTTAAATTTCAAGATTCTAGTGGCTACAGTGCCTTATTTCCTCACTATGTAAGCTGAGGTATAAAGAAATTTTTCTCTGGATTTTAGTAATTGGAGTTATATATAAAGCATCCTTTCTTCTCTAGTTGCTCACCTGAAGACAAATCAAAGTATACTGCCTAATAAAGCCACATGAAAATGCCTGTCATTAATACATTCCGCTGGCGTGTATTTAAAAAAAAAAAAAGGAAGCGCCTGTCATGGGAGAAAATGGAACCAATAGGTAGAGAAGGAGCAGGGGAATGGGAAGGAGGATACTGAGCAAGAGGCAGAAACAGAAAGAGACAGAAAGATACAGAACAACAAAACAACAGGTATTAAACATGCAGGCAGAGAAAAAGCACAACATGGGGCTGGGGTTGTAGCTCAGTTTCCTCATGTATGAGGCACTGGGTTTGATCTTCAGCACCACATAAAAATAAATAAAGGTCCATCAACATCTAAAACACACACACACACACACACTCATATTTATGAGAGGGGGCAGGGAGTTATTGTGTCCATCTACAACTAAAAATATTTTTTTTTAAAAGAGCATGACATGTGCAGCAACAGCACCTGTGACAAGTGTCCCAGAGAAAAGAGGGAGGACAAACAAGCCAGCCACAGGACGCCAAATGACTAGAGCCAGACAAATGAGGCCAACACACTTGCAGGTATCCAGGCTCCCTGAGGCTAAAGCTGCCACTGTTTTCTCTGTGGGTAAATAAACTATCCTTCTGTTAACTCAAGTTAGGGCTCTGATACTTGCAAATGAGAGTCTTGTTTACATTTCTGCACAGCTTTAAGTAATAGCTGGTAAACAATCCAAACAAAATACCTAATTTCAGATCTTAAAGATCTTATGTACATGCTACATAAGTGTTTGACCACTGAGGTATATATATTCCTAGAGCCCCTAAAATTCTTATGTTTAAATCCCTATCCCCAAGATGGTAGTATTAGATGGTGAGACCTATGAAGAGATTAAGTTATGAAGAAAGTGATTAGGTCATTGGAACCCTATGAATGTTTAGATTAGTACCCTTAAGAAAAAGGCCAGATGGATACAGTAGTGTTCTGCAATCCCACCAACACAGGAGGCTGGGGAAAGAGGACGGCAAGTTCAAGGCCAGCCCAGCAACTTAAATAAGACCTGGTCTCCAAATAAAAAAGGGCTGGGATGTTGCTCAACGGTAAAGCATCCCTGGGTTCAATCCCTAGTACCAAAATAAATAAATAAAATAAAATAAAATAGCCCAGAGGACACAGTTAGATGGTGTCTATCTAGAAAGAGGGCCTTTATGACATGGCAAATGAACTACAAAAAGGGTTTGATCAGATAACAAATCTGTTGGCAACTTGATCTTTGACTTTCCAGCTTCTAAAACTAAGAAATAAATTCCAGTGTTTTATAAGTCACCTAGTCTACCTGAAAGCACCATACAGGGACAATCCCATGTTATAACTAAATACTACGCTCATAAGGAGAACTGGTGTACTCAATAAGAAAGTGTGTGAACTATGAGTTAAAAACAAAAAAACAAAAACAAAAACTTCACAATTTAAAGAGGGGGGAAAAGCTCCTCTCCAAATTTTATTTTTAAATTCATCAACAGAATTTGAGAGAATAATATGATAACCAAGAGCTAGTATAAAACATATGAGTTCTACTTTTTTTAAAGGTAGGATATACAGCAGATTAAGACACGGCCTTTCAACCTCTTTATCCTAGCACCTGGGATACAGTAAGCCCTCAGAAAGACTATGATAAGTAAAATAAGCTCAGGGTAGTAAAAGTATATTGGTGATAGAACTAAAAATACAAGTATTAAAATTATTGTATTTTTCCTTTTCTGTCATATGAATATGTCTGTGTATGTGTGTGCATATAATTTGGTGTTGTAGACAGTCTGAGGTAATTTGCTGGTGACTTGGCCTTTCCCAAATGAACTATCAGAGAATATTTTTCCTGTTTACATCTAGATAAACATGTAGCTATCACAGATTGAAATTAAGAGAGTTATACAAACTTGCAAAAACCACATTTTCAAATTTAGAGCAAGTATAAAGTTAGAACCTCACACTTTCAATGCTGCTTCTTTCTGTATTCTCATTTTTAGTATTTTATTTAACCTCTTTCATGGATCATTTGGCCCATATAAGGGTTTCTCTTTGGATTTCTGGTCAAGGCAAGAATCCTGTGAAATTAATCTTTCACAATTATATAGTGTAGTCTGGTCCATTTCATAATCTCTGAAACAGGACAGACAGGAAAAGTAAGGGCTCCTCTGCCCTGTATAATAAAACATTAGCAGATTTATTCTGCATTTTCCTCGGAACCAATGTTGGCTGGTTTCTACTTTAATTAAAACAAAACAAAACAAAAAAACAATTCTAGATTAATTTCTAAGTGCCAAAACTGTGCTTGACTCAAGCATGAAATATAAGTTAGTAAGATATCAACTCTGCTCTCTATAAATTCACTCTCATAATGCAAAATGTCAAGTTTACAATTAACTTAAAATAACAAAAAGTATAGTGGGAAAGTGGTATGACATAGAGAAAAACTGCTGTATATTCCAAGGAGATAGAGACAAAAATGAAAATGTCATCAAGGCAGAGCTATAAAATGAGAGAAATATGACTACAAAGTACAAGTGCAGGAAAAAGCAAAAAATTTTCAGGGAACAGCATCTTCATCTGCCATGAAGCTGAATCTAGAATGTACAAATAGGGGGATAGTGGAATATAAAACCAAACTGCAAATTGTGGTGAGAGGTGAAAGGTCTGAATTTATAATGAAGAGTGTAAATCAGGTAATGGTGGGAACTAAACACTTTTTATTTATTTTCATTTTTAAATATTTTTTAGTTTTTGGCGGACACAACATCTTTGTATGTGGTGCTGAGGATTGAACCCGGGCCACACACATGCCAGGCGAGCGCGCTACCGCTTGAGCCACATCCCCAGCCCCCCACTTTCTATTTTTTTAATTGATTAAAAAAAAAAAATGATAGCAGAATGCATTACAATTCTTATTACACGTATATAGCACAATTTTTCATATCTCTGCTTGTATATAATGTATACAAAGTATGTTCACTCCAATTCGTGTCTTCATACATGTACTTTGGATAATGATGTCCATCATATTCCACCATCCTTGCTAATTCCCTGCCCGGACCCATCTGCCCTATCTAGAGTTCATCTTTTCCTCCCATGCTCCCTCTCTCTATCCCACCATGAATCAGCCTTCTTATATCAGAGAAAACACTTGGCATTTGTTTTTTTGGAATTGGCTAACTTCATATAGCATTATCATCTCCAATGCCATCAATTTACCTGCAAATGCCATGATTTTATTCTCTTTTATTGCGGAGTAATATTCCATTGTGTACATATACCACATTTTTTTTTTATCCATTCACCTACTGAAGGGCATCTAGGTTGGTTCCACATTTTAGCTATTGTGAATTGTGCTGCTATGAACATTGATGTGGCTGTGTCCCTGTAATATGCTGTTTTAAATCCTTTGGGTATAGACTGAGGAGGGGAATAGCTGGGTCAAATGGTGGTTTCATTCCTAGTTTTCCAAGGAATCTCCATACTGCTTTCCATATTGGCTGCACCAATTTGCAGTCCCACCATCAATGTATGAGTGTACCTTTTCCCTCACATCCTCACCAACATTTATTGTTGTTTCTTCATAACAGCTGCCATTCTGACTGGGGTGAGATGATATCTTAGAGTAGTTTTGATTTGCATTTCTCTAAATGCTAGAGATGATGAGCAATTTTTTCATAAATTTGTTGATTGATTGTATGTCCTCTTCTGAGAAGTGTCTGTTCAGGTCCTTGGCCCATTTATTGATTGGGTTATTTATTTTTCTTTTTGGTGCTTAGCTTTTTGAGTTCTTTACATACCCTAGAGATTAGTGCTCTATCTGATGTGTGAGGGGTAAAAATTTGCTCCCAAGAATGGCATTACTCATAGAAATAGAAAAAGCAACATGAAATTCATCTGGAAAAATAAGAGACCCAGAATACCTAAAGCAATCCTTAGCAGGAAGAGTGAAGCAGGTGGCATCACTATACCAGACCTTAAACTATACTACAGAGCAACAGTAACAAAAACGGCATGGTATTGGCACCAAAGAAGACTAGTGACCAATGGTACAAAATACAGGATACAGAGACTAACACACAAGATTACAATTATCTTATATTAGACAAAGGTGCCAAAAACATGCATTGGAAAAATGATAGCCTCTTCAACAAATGGTCCTAGGAAAATTGGAAATCCATATGCAACAAAATGAAATTAAATCCCTATCTCTCATCATGCACAAAACTCAACTCAAAAGTGGATCAAGGACCCAGGAATTAAACCAGAGACTCTGTGACTAATAGAAGAAAAAGTAGGCCCTAATCTTCATCATGTGGGATTAAGCCCCCACTTCCTTAATAGGACTCCTATAAGCACAAGAATTAAAACCAAGAATCAATAAATGGGATGGATTCGATCTAAAAAGTTTTTTCTCTAAACACTTTTTAAATATAGAAGTGATGTGATTCAAACATTCTTGCAAATTAAATGGGAGTTGAAAAAATGGGAGTAACCAAACAAATTAAAAAAAAAAAAAAAGATACCTGTAGAAAAGTGACAGTCTTGTCTGACAAGACTGTCAGTAGAGTCATAAATTAAGGAATTGTGTTATTGTCATAACAAAGTTTTAGGAACACATTTATTTTCCACATAGAAACTAAGAAAAGACAGGTGGAGAATGAATGTGTACCTCAGGCTATTTAAGAATGAGTTAATGAAAAGACAAATTATTTTCTTCAAGAGTCAGTATTTCACAATTTTCCTGTTATTGAAAAAGGACTGATACAGAGAAAAAGAAATCTAGAAAGAAGCATTTCTTTTAGAGAACTCTGATAATGCATAGACTATTTCATCCAAGAATAATCCAACATCCTAACCTACTTTCAGCCAAACGTTATAAGCTAATCTGATTTTATAAACATATTCACTGAAACAATTCCTTGCATCCCACCCCCAAAACTGTGGTAAATAACTTTCTCTGAGAGCCAAGAGTTTCTATTTTTAAATAATAAGACATAAAAACTCTGAAGAAGGAAATGAATAGGATGCTAGGGATGTAGCTCAGTGGAAATGCATAGATTTTTAGCCACGTATTTGGCAATATAAAATGGTATAAACAGTTTTCCTGCTAAGAGTTACTGTTAGGTGCTCCAGACAATTAAACTATTGTTGTTTAAGGTACTGGCAATACACACTTGTAATCAAGTATATTCAGTTTTCTAAGTATTGCCAATGTAGTCTGAGGTCAAGGGAAATACCAAGAGACCAGTACTGATATTTAACTCTTCCTCTCTTTGCTTTATTCCCAAGGATCTGGTTGGAAATACATGTGCACGCACACAACATACACAATTTGGTTCACTGATATTACTAACCTAATCCAAGAGTTTTAAAAAATTGTAGGTCTAGAAATCCTGCATTTTTCAGAAGCACATTTTATCATTCTGATTTGCTTTTAATTCCTTTTACTCTTTAGTAATTAATCCTTTCTCTTTTCTCACATTTTTTCAACTTTTATTTTTAACAATACACTCTTTATATCCTCCTTAAGATTTGTCAAAAACAGAAATAATAATGTTCGCTTAAGAAACATAATAAAAACTACCCACAAACCTACCACCAGTAAGAAAACACTGGTAATGATGTCAATTGATGCTCTTGAATTCAGTGTACATTCTATGTATAGAAATATATATAAGTATATAGACATGTGTATTTTTTAGATTTGTAGTGGTTTTTTGTTCCCTTCTGTTTTTATATGTTGGCTTGTTTTTGTTTTAACTTTTATGGCATTTCTTTCAGTACTGCCCTGAGTGTAACAGTTTGAGAATTTTTACTTTCTTTGGCTACTCTTAAAGATTTTACATTTTTGCATTTTGATTTAGCACTGTTAGGGGCCAAACTATATGTGCCTTGACCAGACAAACTCCATTTTACCCTGAGCCTCCATTTCATATTTTAAAAAAACAAAAACAAAAACATCTCTTCAAAACATCTTCGCCAAAGCATTACAGGAAGAGGAAATGGAAAATAACAATGAAAACCAACAGTGGGAGGTAGGACAGTAAAGGGGGGGAAAATAATCAAAGAGGAAAACAAACCATGTTTAGTAACAGAAATAAACAAATATGGCTGGAAGAACAACCCATATCTCAATAATAACCCTAAATGTTAATGGCTTAAACTCACCAATTAAGAGACACAGGCTAGTAGAATGGATCACAAAACAAGACCCAACAATATGCTGCCTACAGGAGACGCATTTGATAGGAAAAGACATACATAGGCTGAAGGTGAAAGGTTGGGAAAAATCATATCACTCATAAAGCTGCATCCTTGAACTTAATTCTCCTCAGGGTTTCCCTCCCTGGAAAAACACAAGAAACTAGAGAAGCCAGAGCTCTACTATCATTTTTTGGGGGCTGTGTGTGTGCAAGGACTCTTAATTCTTTCACAAGATACTTCTTTAGGGAGAGGTAGAATGTGTTGAGTCCCACAACTACACAAACACAATAAGTGGCCCCAGAGCCATTGCATTATTCTAAGTCTCCCCCACCTTTTTTTTTTTAAATTCTTTCTTCTGTTCACTATAAAAGGCAAACAGTAAGATGTGGACGGCCACAGAAATGACCTTTGTTGAGAAAAGCCAGACAGAAACCAAAAAATGCAAGCTTTTTCTGCCTACAAACTTCTCTCCATAGAGGAAAGCTGATTTTCCTAAAATATCTCAATCTGGGTAACTCCATAAAAGTGCAGTCTAAAATATTTCCTTCAGACTACAAATGATTTAATTTCTACAGATCAGTATTATGGGTGGCCACTATTAACATGTGATTACTAGGCACTTAAACTCTGGCTAGTCTGAACTGCGATGTGCTATAAGTTAACATTAAACTGTCTTCTGAAAACTTAGCATGAAAAAAAGAACACAAAATAATTCATAATGTTAAAACTGATTTTATGTTGAAGTCATAACATTTGGATATACTATGCTAAATAAAATACATTATAAAAATTAAATTTTACTTGTTTCCTTTTTTATATGGTTATTAGAAATTTCAAAATTAAATATGTGGCTCACATTAAATTTCTACTACTCAGCCCTATATAGTACATCTGAAATTTCAAATAAACTAACCATGAATACCATGTATCCTCTACTTATTTTATTAGAAGTGTTTTATGTTTTATGTTCTATAATCTATGACATCAACCACCACTGGACTTCAGGACATAAAAACTCATACCTAGAGAACTGTTCCAAACATCTTATATTAAATAAAATCTCACAGACATTCCACTATCAGGATCATGAAACACTGCACTGACTTGAACCTAATTTGGATTTAACCTCAGCAGGGTTTTGTGAGGATTCTCTCTGTTTATGGGTCTTTCCAGAGCCCCTCTTTCTATTACACAATCACTGAAAATCTCAGTAAGTTTAAAAGTTTCTATTGGGGTTTTAAGAATAGGAAAGTCTGCAAATTTACTAATTTTCTATGTAATTCATGTTATATAATAATAGTCTTTACAATTCATAAACAACTGTAAATTTCTTCATGACTTATAGTTAGTAGACTTATACAACTAAATATCAACCTTTTTATAAGTTTGAGTTCAGGGGTTTCAAAAAACTTTTCTTACTTTCTTTTTTAACCAAAGCATTATATATTAAGATAGATTTGCCTGGATTAAAAAAAAATGAGAGAGAATGCTACAGTCATATATTACTGAACTATACTAAATCCTTCTCAAAATATAGATCATCTTCTTAATTAGACTTATGAATTTGAAACAGAATATAAAACATACTTTTGCAAAGACCTTATGCTTGAATTTCATATTCTAATTAAAAGATACATGACCATCTAAGGCATAGGCACAGAGTATTTTGCAGAATAAAAACGCTATATGCACAGCACATAATCCTAAGATATTACCTGATAGATATCAGATAAACTGCTGCTCCCAGAATCACTGGCAATGCTACAACCAGACTGACTAGAAGACACATGAGTCACCTGTGGATGAGGGTTGTCTGTGAGGTGCATCTTGGTAAGATCAGCTGGAAGCTGAAGAAGAAAAATAATTTTAGTTATTCTAAATGTCAAACTTTATGTTTTTAGGAGATTTTAATATAATGTCACTTTTGCAGCACATTTTCATTTTATGTACATTACTGTACAACTTCATTTTTAACCTAAATTTTTCATTCTTACTAAAAATCTTTTAAATAGTAACAAGCAGATGGCACTTTCTAAAATGATTAGGCAAACCTAACAGAGTAGCAAGATCACTGAACGTTTTTCAAAAGAGATTGCCATTACTAACGTTATTTCAGAGGACAAACCTCACCCCTTTTTACCACCAAATAAAAATATCAGCTATTCCCATTGTAAAGCATAGGAATACTATTAAACACACACACACACACACACATGGGGATGTGGCTCAAGGGGTAGCGTGCTCGCCTGGCATGCGCGCGGGCGCTGGGCTCGATCCTCAGCACCACATACAAATAAAAATGTTGTGTCCGCCGAAAACTAAAAAAAAAAAAAATAAATATTAAAAAATTCTCTCTCTCTCTCTTTAAAAAAAAAAGAACATCTTATACTGTAATCAAATACAGCCAAAGAAAAGGGGTAAACAAAACAGGGAGAGTTCATCTTCCCATGTGCTACTGCCACCTATTTGTATTTTATTTACAGACAGTGTCTTCTCACTGAGTTGCTTAGCATCTCACTTTTGCTGAGGCCAGCTTTGAACTCTCGATCTTCCTGTCTTAGCCTTCCAAGCCGGTGGGATTACAGGCATGTGCCACTACACCTGGCCAGGATAGGAGATGTTATAACACTATAAGACTTCTAAGTAAGAAAACCAAGAGAAGAAGTAAGAAGACTAAGTCATTCATACAAGTGATACCAGAGTAATAAAACAAAGCCAGAAGAACGAGTCTGGAAATAGGTTTGGTAATGCTTATAATGTATTGACTGATATTCATTTCACGACTCCCTAAAAAGCAGGTTATTATTATTATTCCTACTTTATGATAAAGAACGCAGGCAGTAAGATTATATAATTTCCCAATTTCACCCTTAAGAAGTAGTGAATTAGGATTCAAACCCAGGTCCTATTTGATTCTAGCACTCTCTATGATACTATACTTTGTGCCAGGGATGTTGGTGGTCAGATCAACATGGTTTTAAGCAGCTTAGTTTAAGAGCAGAGAGTATATATAAGCAAATACCATCTGCTTTCTATATCAAAGAAAACAGACTTCATTCCCCCAAACTTCCTAAGGGATAGGAACAATAATGACTGGTGATTCCAGTTACCATTTGAGTGTTTCTTACTTGTAGTAAATACATAAACAGTAGCAAATACACTTTACATGTCGTTTATACAGATTACCTACTCTAATCAAAGAACTAGAAGAGGTAAATACTATTATTATACCCAACTGACAGATTAGTAAACCAAGGCTTAGAGAAAGTATAATGTTTGCCCTTGGTCACACAGCTAGAAAGCAGAAAAGCTGGGATGACACCCAGGCAAACTGACTCTAAATCAATTTCTTTTCAATACTCAATAATTTCTATTTTCTTTATAACAAATGAAGTAACATAAAAAGGTTCTGTTCCTTCAAAATAAATTATTGGTTCCTTTAACTTTCTCTTGCAGCTTATCTGCTCTTTTTCCTTTTCTTCCTGATCCAGCCTGGACTTCAAGAGCTGACTTTTCATCAGCAAACTCAATTCATTCTCATCCTTTCAGTCCATCAGATCTGGCAAAACTTTCCCATTTTCTAGACTCCTTCATACATTTCCCAGATTTGAACTTTTATCCTCTACTGGAGCCTACATGGTGGGGTAGGGGGTGGGAGTATGTGGTTGAGCTTGAACACAGTCATTATTTAAGTGTATATAGGGTATTCTTGACTGAAGATATAGCGACAGAGAGATACTGAGGAGAGACTATACAGAAAGAATGCAATCATGAATACCATGTGGGAATTTTGAATTTGATTTCAATAGGCTACTATAGATCTGGGGGAAAAACAATGACATTAAGAGCAGCTATATTTCTCAGCAGACAATGTTTTGTTGCAGTAACAGAAAGATTTCAAGTCTTAAATGCTTAACCTATCATAGTGTATATTTTGAAGATTTAAAAAGTTCCATTTTCACTCTACTGCTCTGAATGTGGAACTCATGTTTTCTGTATCTCTCTCATATATATATACGTAAAAGTTAATATCCCCCCCCCCCTTTTATTACCAAATAAAGGCCTGGCATAGTGATACCTATCTTGCATACATGTCTGCTCATTAAGTATGTACAGCATAAATGAATGAATATATTTGACTTCCGAACACTTTGCTGTTCAGGTTTCCAAGGATATCTGAACAGACTAGAGATTTCATTTGATCTTCTGTACAGGAAACAAAAAGAAATTTAGCATATGCATATTCAGTATTTCACTCAGCATAGTGTGTTGTCAATTGTTTAGAGCCATTCCAGGAGATAAAATCCATGAGTATTTGCAAAAGTAAAAACAATTAAAGCAAATCGGTTGGTTCCATGGCTGTTGGAAAACAATGATATTCTTATGCCCCTCTACTCTTTTGATAACAAATGTATATATGGAAGAGTCAGGAAGTCCCAGAAAAAAGAAATCTCTTTCACATAGGATTCTCCAAAGTTACTTTTCCTCAATATTCTTATCAGCATCCTACAAATGTGAAATAGTGCTTTTGGATAATTCCATATATCCAAAAAGAAATAAATACTTACATGACAATTAATTTTAGGACAATCCCAGGTATCCCTCCAAGAAAAATTTAGAGGGCAATTTACATGTTTGGCCAAGAAATGGTCATGAGAAATATTTTCAGCATAGAAGGGCAAAAGAAGTATGGAGATCAACTGGAATGCAGATACATATAGCATAAAAATAATGTTACATGCATGTTCTAAGTTCTACTTCATGTTTTAAAAACTTAGCCTTCAAGAATAATCTGCCACAACAAAGAATCTTAAGATACTTTTTGGTATGTGAAACTTTTAGTCCCTTACAAGCCATACTCAAACATTATTTCACTTAAGAGCTTTCAGTGAGTTCTAAAAATAATAAATACTATATATTATTAACCCTAAAAATGTACTTAAATATACTTAAAAAAAATCAATTCTCCAATAGAACAGCAATCCTCAAAAATCAGTTAAACTTCAAACTGCATTATTAAAACTTCCTTTAAAAACATAATTTCTGTGACTATCTGCAAGTCACTTACTTGTTAGTTTTAAAATGACGAAGATATAAATTTAATTCTTGGATACATATTAAAAAGTGCCAATGTGCTGCTTAAAGGAAGACATTTCAGAACTCTACCCTCTACTAATTTATTATAAATATAAAACATTTCTAACAGGCTTGGTGGTCTAATTTTCCCTCTGCTGAACTAGGAGCACCTAGTGTATACTTGATGCTGGCCACAACACAAATTGAATCTTTGGGAGTTTGGGAGATTCAATTTTTTTTTTTTTAAAGTTAAAATAACAAATGTAACTTAGACCTCATTCTCACTGGATAGATAGTAGGAAGAATTAATAATGTTCAAGATGAGTCCTGGGAATAATCAAGACTAAACAGTGCTGACCAAGACCCAGAACTATAGCACTCAACACAGTAACACCAGTCACACATATTGAGCATTTCAAGCAAGGATAGTTCGGACACAGACATGCTGTGGGTGTAAAATATGGACTGAATTTAGAAGACCTGAAACAATAACAAAAAAAGTAGAATACCTTATTAGTATTTTATATTTTAAAAGTATATATATTATATATCTTATTACCTATTGAAATAATATTTTGGATAGGTTAGACATTAAAAATAATTCTACTAGGGTCTGGGGTTGTAGCTCAGTGTTAGAGCACTTTCCTGGCACGTGTGAGGCATTGACTGGGTTTGATCTTCAGAACCACATAAAAATAAATAAACAAACTAAGGTATGCTGTCCATCTACAACTACAAGCGTTTAAAAATTTTTTTTAAACAATTTATTTTTTATATTATATTTCTGTTGAATGGCGTGAGGCTAGAGACATGCTGTATTCAGAAACCATAAGCAATCCAATATATCTCAGGTAGGGATGTAGAGGAGGATTGTAGGAGACGCCAGATATGGCATTCCTGGGGGCATAGATTTCCATACTAAAAGAAAACCTTCAAATAGTTTTAAGCAAGTAAGTGGTTGGAAGAGACTACTCTGAAAACACAGAAGATGAAGTAAAAGAAAAATCACACAGATGAGGGACAAGAGACACTAGTCAAGGCACAAGAAGATGGAAGCTTTATGAAATTAAAAGTGAACCACCAGAATTATAAGGAAGTTTCTAGGACTTGACAGAGTGACATATGCAGAAAAGTGTCAGCTGAGGGGGGTAGGGGTGGGAGTGGTGGGGGGTGGTCATGTTTCCAAGATCTAAAAAGTAGTCTGCAGTTTATTTTGTGGACAGTCTAAAATTTCTCAAAAACCCAGAGGAGACAACTGTATCCAATCTTATTAGCCCTGGGTATATCCACCAGATCATCACAGTACTATGCCCAAGGCATGCAAAACTACTGGTGAAATTTAGTGCATTCCTCATTATTTTGTAAAAGATGAGAGTTAAATGATCTAATTATTATTATTTTTTAATTCTAAGGCATTTCTTCCCACTTTAATATTTTTGAAACCAAAGAGAAAATTTTAATCAATATTTACAGTTAACATTGGGGGGGGGGAGGAAGAGAAAAAGAAGGGAGGAAGAGGAGCGGCGACCGGGGGAGCGAAGGGAGGGAGAGCGTAAGGATATGACGAAGAAAAAAAAGGAAGGAGGGGAAAAAAAAAGAAGCTCGAGGGACGGCTAGTAGAGCATGGCAAGGGGGAAGGCCTTCTGGTTGTGCGTTTTCTGGCGGGAGTTAGGAAGCGACGAAAGCATGGATCGCCACTTGGCCGTTGCTGTAGGCTCAGATATACTTCTTGTCTTGATATGCTATTTTTAGTTGTAGTTTTCAACGATCATCGCGTGTTGGTTTTCTTCTAGTCCTG